GATTAATTCGATGTGCCGGGATTACCTACTCTATACGTAACGAACGCGCGCGCGCGCGCGCGTGCAAAATGGACGGGAAATGGTCCAATTTCCTTGAAAGTCGACAAAATTGCGAGCCGAAAGACGAGAATCACCCGGCTTTGATGCTTCTTGAATACCAGGATTGCGAAACCCAAATATAAGCGTGTTTTGGGGCCCCTGCCAGGTAGAAAATTTTTCGTTTCTTCAACTTGAAATTCAACAAAAATTTGATTTTCCCCAAATTCTTTGATTTCTCGGCTTTATGGAGCCGTCGCCAGGTGGATTTCAGAAACGGAACGCTGCCCTGCCGCGCCGAGTTGCTCAAGCTCCGCGCGGAGCTGCTGAAGCTCCGCCGCGGTCCGTCCGCCGTCCGCGCGCACGAGCGTCTCTTCCTCGACCGAAGCATCCCCGACGACGTCGTCGCCCACGTCCTCGCCTTCTGGCGGAGCGATCGGGACGCCTAAGAAACGACAGCCGGCTTAGCCGAGGCCCCCTTCGAAGAAGAAGCGACGACGGACACCCCTTAGAACGCGTCCCCGCCCGGGGGCGGCATGTGCTTGCCGTGGTCCTCGGAGAGCTCCTGGCCCATGGCCGCGGCCATCGTGACGTTGACCGCGTGCTCGATGCGGCGCGCGGACTCGTCCTTGGCCTCGCCCTCGTCGCCGGTCGCCGCGGCGGCGTCGGCCGGTGGCTTGGGCCGGCTCTTCGCTCGTCGGTCGCTGTCGCGCTTCGCGGCGAAGAGCGCGGCGCTGAAGAGCTTGAGCCCCCGCGCGCGCTTCCTGCGGCCCTCCAGATCCAACGCCTCGTCCGCGAGGACCTTGGCGCAGACGTTGCGCACGGTCTCGTGGACGTCGACGAGGGACACGCGGAGCATGGCCTCGAGGAAGATGGGCATGGACGCCTTGTAGGCCTCCTCGGTCTGCTTCTTCCGCGCGTCCGCCGCCGACGGCGCGGCCTCGGCCGGCTTCGCCTCCCGGGGCAGGGGCACGTGGGCGGCGAGGAGCGCGTCGACGAGGTGGGCCTTCTCGACGCAGCCCGACACGTCGACGCGGTGGCGCTTCGCCAGCGCCTTGAGCTTGCCCACCCCCAGCGCCGCGAGGTCGGATCGCGCCGCGGGCGTCTCGTCGTCGACCTCGACCTCGACCTCCTCGATGTGGGCCGCCTCCTTGTCGACGGGCACGAGCTCGCTCAGCTTCTTCGCCGCGTAGAGGCCCTGGGCGCCCGCGCGCGCCGCGTTCGCGTACGCCAAATTCTTGAACGCGTCGTTCTTGTAGGACGAGACGACGCCCGCGATGCCCAGGACGCCGTCGTGGCGCCCGAGCCACTCGTCGGCGGCGAGGCCGTAGCCCCGCGCGAGCGCGAGGATGAGGGCGCCCTTGGTCAGCGCCTCGTCGCCGTCCGCGACGGCTAATTCTCCCGCCTCGGCCGCGCACCACGCCTCGAACGCGGCCGCGTCGCCCCTCACGAAGGGCTCGAGGGCCGCGGCGAGGGTCGTCGCCAGGCCCACCTCGCGGCCGCGCTGCTTGACGCCGTGCTGGCCCCGCACCTCCGCGAGGCCCTGGGCGATCGCGCCGCCGAGCTCGCCGTCCGCCACGCGCTCGCCCGTCTCCTCGGACGTCACGATGGCCTTGGACGCCGCCTCGGCGGCGCCGCCGCGCTTCGTCAGCGTCGACGAGATCTGCGCCAGGGCGAGCTCGCCCACGTAGGCCTCGAAGCGCTGGGAGCCGAAGAGCGCCGCGAAGAAGACCGCAGCGTCGTATTGAAACCCGACCTCGGCCGTCGCGGACGCGCCGTCGCGGTCGTAGGCCGCGCGCAATTGCGGGTCGCTCAGCACCTGGTAGGCGTGGCTCACGGCCTGGAACTTGGCGTGGGCCGTCGGGTCGTCGCCGCACTTGTCCGGGTGGCAGCCCCGCGCGACTTTATAATAGGCCTTCTTCACCTGGGCCGGCGAGGCGTCGGGCTGGATCTCCAGCAGGTCGTAGTACTCCAGGCTCGCGACGCGCTTCTTCCGCTTCGGCGCCGCCGTCGCCGCGGCGAGGGGCGGCGCGGCGCCGCCGGCGCCGTCGGTGAGGAGCGACGCGGGCACGTCCAGACCCTCCGACGCGGCCTCGCGGCGCACGACCTCGGCCTCGGCGGACAATACATAAGCCTCGCGTTCCTTCCATTCCCGGCTCTCCTTGTCCCACTCGAGGTCGCCGACGGCCGCGTGGTAGAGCGCGGACGGCGTGTTCCAGCATCCGCGACAGATCTGGCCGACGCCGACGACGACGCCCGTGAGCGGCAGCAGCAGCGCGCCGCACAGGCCCGCGCCGACGCCCGCGGCGACGCCGCGCAGCATCTTCTTCTTCGCCAGGGCCTTGGACTCCTGCGTCGCCGGCGCGGACGCGTCCGCGACGGCGCCGGGCCCGCCGTCGTCGTCGCCGTCGTCCTGGGACCCGTAGGCGCCGGCGACGGGCGCGGCGATGAGCGCCGCGAAGCCCAGCGCGACGCCCTTGGCGAT